ACTCTAGAAGCCTCCTAAAGGCTATGCATAGCCATTTTTGTAAAGGGACAGGGTTTCAGGATGCCAAAAATGTTGTATTCAGTGTATAAGATGCACCCAGATTTTCACCCTCTTTTTTGAGGGAGAGGGGTGTGTCTTATACTCTGAAAAATACGGTAGTACTTTCAATTTAAAAGAAAAGCAAGGATAGGATAAATCTTTATCTAGAACCATGGAGATAATCAGAGCAGATGTGCCTGGTTAGTTATGTAAAGCAATACTTCTTCTATCATTCTGTTTTATATAGGAGAAGATAAAATAAAGTCAGATGGAAAGATTTGTATTCAGAATATAGTTCATTCTCTTTTCATTTAAAACATTTATAAAATTACCCATATTCCTTTAAAAAAATTATTATCATGATATAAAGTACAAAAGAAAATTAAAATTGGGGAAAATGGGGAAGGAAAAAGAGAAGAGAAAGAAATATAGGGGTAAAGGAGAAAAAGGAAAAAAATATTGACTTCTGACTCTTTGGGTGCAGTAGAATAATAACATTACAACCTCAACTTTTTACTTTTACATACTAATATGTACTAGCCATTCCTATAACAATGAATGTATCTAATTAATAAAACCCAGAGTCAAAATTTCATTTTTTCCATCTCAAGTACAAAATATTTGGTCAACTTCTAACTAACTCTGCATGGCTCCCAAACAAAAATTCTTTTCCCTTATCTGTATTAATTTATAAAACCTTAATAGAAACTTGTTCTTAATATACTGAATTGGAAAGAAAATGTCTCAAGACTGAATTATTCTAGAAACCCAGAAAATGCAGTCAAATTCAATCAGTTTTACCTTTTGTGGGATGGAGTGATCCTCTTCTGAATCCAAACCCAAACGGCCTATATTTGGGGAGAAACAATAATGATGAGTACGGGTAAGATTCAAAGAAAGCTGTCAATCAACCATCTACCTTTCCAGAAGCAGAAATCCTTTAATCTGATCTATCATGATAGTGTTCCAATAAACTTTACTTCTATCAGTCATTAATCTTTCCAAAGATTAAAAACTGCCTATAAGTAACCTACCATATTCTCCACAGCCCCATGTGTAGACCTCACGATTTCGTGTCAGCACTGCCACATGATTATCTCCACAGGAAACTTGTTCCACCGGATTACTGGAAAAAAAATTGATCTGCCGGGGCTCCAGGACCTCAGACCCAAAAGCCTTGTCAACACCAATGCAGCCATAGTAATCTGAACCAAAGGCAAAGGCTTGACCTTCACCTGCATGAAAACAAGGGATATATGAACAACAGAGGATCCAATCTTAAAAATCCAATGGTTCTCTTCCTCTTTAATACAGGGAGAATTTAACTACAGTGCAATCTAATTACTTTGATCAAGCCAAATTCATTGTGGCTTAGTTTACTACAGTATCCTACACTCTGGACCATATTTGAATTATATAGACTGCCACATAATCAATATATTTTTAATCTTTGTTTCATTTTAATGATTTTATGTACTCAATCACAAAACGTAATATAAAAGCCAATGTACTAGCATTTCAAAGAACACAAAACAGATATAAGTTGGTTTTTGGAAGTTGTCCTAATTCCAGCAGCTGCAGGTTTGTCTGTCTTCCAGATTTATCAATACCGGAGTATTACATATTCTCTTACATTTGGGGTATTTTCTCTTTTAGTTAATATACTTTTTCAGTTCTTCCGTAACCTTTTTGATGCATTTGAAGGGCTACCATGTTACCTATGTCTCTCACCTGTAATGCAGATTGTAAAGTCATCCCCACACGATACTTGACGAATAGCTTTGCCCTGCAATTTTTCCACATGCTTAGGCTGCCGATACGAAGCTTTATCTCCATGTCCCAATTGCCCATGCAGTTTTGTGCCTCCCTGCATGTTCTATTTAAAAATACATTTGATAAAGTGGTTTAAGAGCCATGATATATTGTTAATGAAAAGAAACTAAAATAAATAATATAGAGTATTGAGGAACCAGAAACACCTCTATATTCCTTTCTGTTTCCACAGGATGAAGTGGCCTATTCTTGTTTCAGCATCTAAATAATAATTATAGGTTTTTTTGTATGGAATGTTGCTCCAGATAACCATCTAAATGTTGGGATGCTTTTTGGAAGATGTGGGATGTGGAGAAAGAGAAAATATCTTGATATTTGGAACCTAGCTTATAGTAGGCAAATTCAAAGAATGAGGGAATACCACTTAGGTACCTCACAGATAGAATAAAGATAGAGATGTGTATTGTCTGATTACCCTGTTTTCCCGAAAATAAGACCACCCTGGATAATAAGCCAAATTGAGCTTTTGAGTGCATGCACTAAAATAAGTCCTCCCTCGAAAATAAGCCCTTCTTGAAAATATTGCAACACAGCAGCAGCCATGAAGTGACCACGCTCGCTGCCTCCTGTGCCTCAAAAATAATAAGACCCCCACAAAAATAAGGCCAAGCGCTTATTTCGGGGAGTGAAAAGAAAACAAGACCCTGTCTTATTTTCAGGGAAACAGAGTATGTAATAGTATCAAATATCAACAGTGAACATTAAACTGGGAATCCCTTCCTTAATATAGACTAACATTTAATATGACTTACATTTAATATTTACATTTACATTCCATTTTATATTGTCTTCACATACATATGTCTCTTTTGTCTTTTTTTTCCAAGTTAAGGCTACTACTTATACTGGCTGAATATTATTTCCAGCATTATTTTATTATCTATTTGGCATGAGATCTGTTCTGCTTGAGTTCAAGTGCTGGTTGGAAAGCCCTCTACAGATTTGTCTATTAGCACTTCTGGCATAGTCTTCTCCAGGTACAATCAGCCCATCCAACATAGTGTACAAAAATGCTATGGCTACCCACCCATGAGAGAGATGAGAAGATTGGGAACTATTATTAGTAGCGAACCCTCCCCATGGAACAACTTGCCCCATGAGGTTGAAGTGGCCCCCATTTTTTCAGTCTTACGTAAGTTGGTCAAAGCAGTCTCCTTTTATAGGACATTTGGTTAAAAAGATTTTAAAAGAAGATAGCAAGAGTTATCATTTTAGAATTATAATAATGTTTATGACTTAATACAATATTACACTTATTACGCCACTAAGCCATCTACAGCTGCCACAAATAGGTGGCATATCAATCACTTAATATAAATAAAATATTAATCTCTAGAAATTCTTATTTCCTTCCAGCTGATAAATTGGACCAAAGGCTATTTAGTTCGTAGTTCCACTTGGAGGCTCATGTATTTGGGACATGAATGGATATAAATGTAACTGCTGTTTCTTTACTCAATTGGAGAGCCAATGTGATCTGTCATAATGAACAAGATGAAAATTCCTATCAGCACTTGATCCTTTCATTGATGGCAGATGCAAAAGAATAATGTTTTGTAGAATCCCTCCTCCCCCACAACCTTCCCAAATTCTTTTGACACTTACCACCCAAGTATAGAGCTCTTTCTCCACTGTTACCACTGCAAAATGAGTGTTTCCTGCACAGACCTGCCGTGCACTGCAGCCATTTTTAATAACATCCAGCTTCTGAGGAGTGGACTTTCCACCTCCCCATACATATACTTCACTAGTGCGTGAAGTCACCACTGCAATAGGTGCTTCATTCATAGTACTTGTTCTGTAAATCACAAGAGATCTGTATGGATACACTGTTTACCATGAGCTGCTTTTCTAAGCCTCTAAAGAGAAGATAGATGGGAAAATTTTAATTTCCAGTTTCCATGCAAAAACACTTCATATAAGTGCTAAGAGTTTTCCATATATATAAATATACATTGGCATGCATTAGGTTCAGAGGCCAGACAGACAGCATGGAAACGTGGAAGAAAGCAGTATGTTGTAAGAAAATCAGAAATCAATTTGAAGAGACATATATACAATTTTTGAATGTTTAAAGGCAGCTACATGAATAAACTTATGAGAAGGGTGTACAAATACATTGATAAGTTAAACCATTAATATTTTTAGCTGTATAGGTAAATTGTTCAGTAATATAGCACAATTTATAAGTAGGGACTGATGTAAAGTAAATGGAAATTTAAAGTAAATGATGAGCATGGTTAACAAGAAAAGTAAAATTAAATATAACTTACAATAGTTTAACACTTGCATATTTTACAGTTAAAATGTCTTAAAGAAAGCATTCTTTTATAGCAATTATCCACCAAGAAAAGTTATGCAAAAGATTCAGTGAGGAATAGTCAGTTTCAGGTGATCTATGCTTGGACCAAAAGACATGCCTGCGGTCCGTGCGCAAACCAAAGCACCAGGACCTCCAATGTGTATTGGAGGTCTATGCCTGGGCATAGAGCCAGAACACACACGTCAGTACATAAGTATTCCAGGGTTGGAGACAATGGAGGAAAGGCAAAGGCAATGTTAGTGGCACTAAAAGGGGTAGAAATGTGCTAGGAAAATAGGGTAGACAGCTGTTGGATTACACCATTCCTGATGCAATATTTGATGGCAATAGCAATAGACTTCGATACCACTTCCCAGTGCTTTACAGCCCTCTCTCTAAGTAGTTTACAGAGTCAGTATATTGCCTCCAACAATCTGGGTCCTCATTTACCGACCTCAGAAGGATGGAAGGTTGATTCAACCTTGAGCCTAGTGAAATTCAAACTGCCAAATTACAGGCAGCAGGCAGGCAGCAGAAGTAACCTACAGTACCGCACTCTAACCACTGTGCCACCTCAGCTCAATACCTAAAAGAAAAGAAAAGAAGACCCTGGGAAGCTTGGAAGAAAAGATAACTGACTGTTTGAGTTATGCTGCACTTGAATTGAAGATGCAGGCAGTGGAATTCAAGCATGGGAACAGCTAAAAGAGGTAAGGGCAAGTATGATGCTGACTAGTGCTGAGGCCATGAAAAGGAGGAGGCAGAGAGAAAGAAGGCAGATATATTAGCTTTGCCTACCCACCCTGCAATACCTCTTCAGATACCCGCTACTTTATTATCTAGATTGTCCCCTTCCACTGTATAAACACATGCACACAGAGATAGCTTAGGATAGTCTTTGGAGCAGCAGAGGGAGCCTTCCAAAGAACACAGCTATTTTAACACTTTTGGGAAAGGAGTTTTGCTCATGCTAAGATACTTGCAGAGACCAACTATTTTCTTCTGTTCTATTCTTCAACACGTATTCCTTTACCTTGGGCGTTTGTTTGGGCCATTAAGAAGTGCAACTTTTTCCTCCATATCCCTGCCAGGAAGAATAAACAGTAAGAACGGTGCATCAATACAGCTTTTTCAAAAGGAATCATTACATGATTTAATCACACTGCAAATAACCTTTTCATAAAATTGTATTGCAAGCTACAGACAGTGTCTGTCTGTATTAAATATTGTAATTTCTACATAATAAGCAGTGTTACTCAATGCCTGAAATACACAATATCCATAACACACATAGATTAATATAGCCTGTATAAACAATGGACATGCTTCAGTGCTGTATTGTTAACTATGTAAATTGGGGGCTCTCATAAACAGGAAATGGGGGAAGTCAAGTTGCCATTCTCCTCAGCCCCTATGTTCTCAAAAATCTGTTCCCAAGGATTGTGGGACACTTTATTGCCTGAGAGCTGTAGGAAAAAGAAGAAATTGACAAAAGCTGCCATCCTGCATTTTAAAAAAAACACTCTTCTGGAAAAGTGTTCCCTCCAGAAACATAATATATCCCTGGAAGGGATATATTATGTTTCTAGAGGCACTAATCCAAACCAAACTTAAGAATTTATTTGTCAGTTTAATTTGGAGACCGATATTGAATTTCTACACCTAGAGGCAAAGAAAGATAAACAAGTGAAACTAGTATAGGGCTTGGAATATGAAAAAACAAAACAAAAATGTAATCCTGAGAATTAGGTCACAAAACAATCACAGAACCGTAATACAAATAAGGAGCCAAGGGAATGAAGAGTCCAGCCAGCCAAGTGATTTTGCCACTTGAGGCTAAGCAGACAATGGACCACCCATTCTCCTCCCCAAGTCAAAGCCAGCCAAATACTGGCTTTGATATGAAGGCACAAGATATGGAATATCTCACAGGGACCTCCCCCATTCATGAAATTAGAAATAAAGGCAGCAAAATAATTGACTAATAATTTGCTGCCTCACATCCAACTGATAAGTTGTGTTGTTAATTCAGTTATGCCAATTTGGGTTATTTTCTCACACTATAATTATAAATCTAATTTAGATTTTAACTTGTTTCAAGGCTGTATGAGCCAAGGTGGCGCAGTGGTTAAATGCAGCACTGCAGGCTACTGCTAGATCAGCAGGTCAGCGGTTCAAATCTCACTGGCTCAGGGTTGACTCA